TTTTTCCACATCACCGCTTAACAAGAGCGCTTGAGTAGCCATAGAATTACTGTAATAAGCAATGCGTGTTTTGGAATATCGTAGCTTACGCCATTTTGTGAATAGACCAGGATCTACTGTTCCATGACAGGCGCGAAAAAGAACAAAGGAGATGTTTTGATGGTTACGCTCCAACACCAAGAAATTCCACGCACTCTTGAATAAAGACCCATTGACTGCAGGCGTTAATTCCAAGAGCTCTTCATTGCGGAGTACTCTTGGGACGACCTTCCACTCTCGTATGCAAATACGGAACTCCATTACGAAATCTTTCCAATCTTGGACTTGAAACGTCCAAACGTCTCTTTTATAACCATTTAAATCAATTTTGGTGACTGCCAATTGAGAGATATTACCTTTAGTAAACTGCTCGTTGAGTTCGAACACATTAGGACGGCAAGTTGCGGAGTATACAAGACAAATTACGGAGAGCAAAAATCCGTGTCTGACCGACATTGTTATGCAATGTTATGCGGTGTTCAAAAGTGTTTGGAATCTAAGCAGCGTCGGCGTTTCACTGCTCTGTTATCATAGATAGTTTTTTTGCATAAGAAGACAAATTTTGTAGGTGCGTTAAGAAATTGTATTCAAAAACTGTCCTCAAATATTAGCTATCGGTTGCTGCCGTTGTTGTATAGTGAAAACCTTACGGAAAGAAGGTCTGTCCTTGCACGTGCGGACGCAGTTACAAGGTGAGTTTTGCTTATTAGGAAACTCTTGAACGAAATATAACTTACCAATAAAAACTGGACCTATGACGCCAGAAAGACCGACAAAAAGAGCAAGATAGCCCCACGCTTGGTCAATTCTCTTCTGTCCGACGCATGTTAACACTATCAGTGGCATTAAGCCGTATCGTTCACCATCCATGAGACCAAACATAACAGATAACACCACCACAGCTTTGTAAGATGTTGCCACGGGTAACAGAAACAAGCAGACGCCGAGACATGTCGTTGAAAATTGATAAAGATCAAAGATGTTGATGAATTTGAATTCACTTAGCTTGCAGAACAAGTGGTTGCCAAAGAAGTAAGAGATCGCCATGTAGGTGTATAGCATGGAGCCTCGTTCTGTCGAAATGCCAAGTTCACTTTCACAAAATTTCACCTACAAGGGCAAAAACAACCAAATTTTTCAGTAACTGGCGATTATATACCACTTAGTAACCGAGAGTGAGATCGTTACAGGCCGAAATCTCAGATATTGAACTAGCGTAGCGGTCAATATAGTCAATGTAAGTTAGGGCTTGGCTTATTCCCACCCTACACCTTCCAACCCTAGGTGCCAGTGTTCTCTGGTAACAAAAATGTTTTCTAACTTAAGTAGCCTTAACGTTGGAGTTTTATAAAAAGTTTTCAGGCCGTGATGTAAGGGTAACGGGGTAAAAGGGTTAGAGAATATTAGGGCAATTATCACAAAGCTTACAGGGATATGACGCCGTCAATTATCTCTTACTCCTCGAGTTCCTGTAGTCCCCTTTATATTGCGGGGTGGGGACCACGAACCATATTCTAGGTGATTGTTTAGAGAAAGGATTAATGATTGTGTTATTTGTATAAAAAATATTCAATAAAGTTAAATCACAACTTACTAGGAAAATTGACAGCGTAAACACGACAAAGAACACCGGAGTAACGGAGACAAGATAGATGATGTAACGTCCATTTCGTAAAAGGCTTGGTGCAGGAATGACCTCGACATTTTTTTCGGATCCTTCTTCAATTCTTTTGACGTTAGCTACGGTAACATCCGATTTTGCGTCGTAAGAGAACGCCAGTGGGGTTGCCAACAAAAACAAGATGGCCCACCCTCTAAGGGCATTTTTAAATCCATAATTTGAAATGAGAACCTCTGTGATTTGTGTCACCACGAACATGCCTACACTTGATGACGACGCCGTTATTCCAACAGCAAGAGAACGCCACTTCACAAAGTGCCTCAGAACAACTAGAACACTGCAGTGGTAGGACATTGCTGAACCCAGTCCTCCAGTTACAGAGAATAAAACAAGGAAAAACCAAAAATTGTCCACAAACGAGCTTACACAAAAGCTGATCGACATTATAAGACAGCCACTAATGGCTGTCATTCTAAATCCGAAACGTTTTATCAGGCGGGTTACCAATGGTCCAAAAATCCACGGGAGTGACATGTAGAGTGAACCGATCCAAGCTAAAAAATATCAAAACAGAAGTAAAGTCAATAATCAGAGCTCTGATTACTTCAACGATGTTAAACAGCCAGTAAAAGGCTTGCTAAAAACGAGCTTGCACAAAATTTGCACCTGGTTATAAGTCACCCACTAAATCCGAAACGTTGCATCAGGCTGGTTAATTATCAAATGGTCCAAAAATCCTGGCGAGTCGTTAGTGCCTTAAAGACTGTGTAGAATGAACTGTTTCATGGGTTAGTTGCGCCCTGTTTTACGATAAAGCTAACTGCTTTCGTGAGACTAACATGGTCACTTTGGTTTGACTAACTGCCGCGGATCTCGTTAAGGCTACATGTTTTACATTCCGAACGTTTACTAAAATTTCTATGGAAAAACTCACCGTTTTTCTACGATCTGGCCAGCCGTTTTTATAGAATTTCTACATTATTTCCACTGCACACTAGCCTACTTTGTCAGTATCGCTGGGCAGTTCTCGTTAAGAGATGAAATACTTTTAGGGAATTAACATGAGTCTTTCTGTTTAAAAAAGAGGGGATAAAAGTTAGGAATGCTGTCAAGCATGAAGTCCTAGCGGAATCCGTACCTGTGAGTCAAGTAACTTCAAATGCTCCTTAACCTCACGAAAATTAAAGGTCTAGTTCATACGTCGTGCTTCTGCTCTGCCGGCCTTAATTCTTATTTCGGAGTGTCCGCGCACTCACAGCGAAGCCCCATAGCTATGGCAAATGAAAACCTATCGATGCTAGAAAGTTTTGTTATCACGTTAGTACTTCCCCTGGGGTAGGGGTAAATAAACTCAGTAGGGTAGGAAAGGGAGTCCCAGACATTTACGTTGTGTTTCGATTTGGCGCAAAATTAAACATTTAGGGGCAACTGATGTTCGAGTACCTAGGAGTTTCAATTTGAAAGTAAGTGCCGACGTCAGGTCTGGAACACAATACGGAGAATACTGTTTGAAAATAAATAAAGTGAAGAAAATGAAAATGGCCCCCGGGAATTAGGGTGGGTAAGCCTTTTTAAAAGAAAAATATGTCATTTCCGTGTATTTGTTATGTATAAAAGGGGGAAGCCCATCGCGTAGATTCCAGAGTGCAAGCCAGGGTGCTTTCTCTTACACTCGTCTTATTCAAGTTCCCGGATGTACAATCACACGGTAGGCAGACCAGTATAGACCTTGTCTTCATACCAGAAAAAAACACTGGGTCAAAGTTCATCTGCAATGTTGCTCTCGCCTTATTCATTTGACTCCCAAGAGCATGTTTCCGAGGCCAAAGACGTGGCCGTCATCTTAGAAAAGCGAACAATGCAGAACAATGCAGACTCTGCGAATCGTAATAACTTTGTCCCATCTCAGAGCTTTACATGATGCTTTCCGGGAAACTTTAATTTCTCAAGGTGACCAATAACGAAATGTTAACTGCTAAACGGCACCGAAGACAGCTTTAGCCTCGCACAGATTTCAAATAACTGTCACTTGTATTGAATAGAGAATTGTGGGCGGGATCGAAAAAAAAAAACAGAGCGGCGAGGGAGTGAAGGGTTTGGGGGTTGGGGGAGATAGAAATTCGCGAAATTCTTTCTACAGCCACTTCTAGACAAATCGCTAACCACAAAACGAACAAAAAAAGACATCAGCAAACAACTCAGTAAAGAAGCTATTAGGCAGGGGAAGATAAGAGAAATTACAAAATGTTTGCTAACCCGGTTTTCATATTAGGTAGATATATAATTCTGTAAAATTCGACGACCTTGTGACTTTGCGTTAATCACTTTCAACCTTAACATCCCTTTTTAAGGCGTTCTTTTAAGCTGTGTGGACGCATTTTTTTTCTGGTCCCAGTCAAAATTTGAAAAAAAACCGTGGATATAGGGTCTATTCTGCTCGACAAAAGCACGGCAGAGCCCGACGTATGAATCAAAGTTTTAAATTTGGTTCGGGCAGAGCAATCGAGTTCGACAACGTCTGCCGCGCTACACGATTCTGGCACCTGACTGATTCAAACATTGAGCTTATGACCTAATTTCCAGTAGTTTGAGACTGAAGCTGTTTTCGAAAATGTATAAATATGATCCAAACGTCTGAATTAAAGTCGTCCTTCTGTTGAACCCAATTACAAGAAGAATAGCAAGGCAGAAGCACAAATCATAAACGTATTGGGCCTTAGTGGCCAGCATCATTTCAAACCATTGATCTTTCCAATTTTTTTAAATCTGTTTAAGACTATACTTTTCTAGGCGTTTAGATAGAGGAGAGAGCATGAAAAATAGAGCGAGCGAAAAAAGGAGAGGGAATATTGTAGAAAGAGGCGAAGGCATGTCTGGCATAATTTATTACCGTTTGTAGCCACAGCGAATACCGTAAAATTCCGAACTATAAGCCCTTCCATGTATAAGCCCCTCCAAATATAAGCCCCCCAAACCGGTAACACAAAAAAAACCTCCGTTAAATCGCCCCTCCAAATATAAGCCCTCCGGGGGCTTGTACTTGGAAATTTTCCCTCAAATACAAAGTAAAACAAAGCAAAAACGGTAAATTTACTTCCAACTATAAGGCTAGCCCAATCGATGTTGAAACGCAAGTTTCCCTCCGTATATAAGCCCCTCCAAAGGGGCCTTTGAAAAATATAAGCCCCGGGGCTTATTTTCGGAATTTTACGGTATATTTATGAATAATATTGAAATTGAACCCCTTGAATTATTAGGCTAAATTATTTTACTTAGAACGGGGTGTTATAGTAGCGTAGTTGGCTTACATGCAGAACAAGCCAATGTTTATTGCACGCACTGGTTAACGGCTTCCTTTTCTCCTTTACAATTATAACAATTAGCGCGTTCTTAGTGCTTGTAGAATGGAAATTGTTTTGCGTGGTTTGCTTGAAGCGAAGAATATTCATGAACTACCTATTGGATTAACCTTCGCTCGCGTTACAAGTATTATTTGTGGAATAGAAATCAAGTTGTTTGTAGTGGGTGGCTTTTAATTACATAGTGAGCCGGAATAATCAAATAAATCAGTGTTTTTCGCTCCTTGATCAAGTTTACTGCGTTTAGCGGTTTACTGCTCAGAACCTGTAGCCAGTTGTAACAAACGCTTACCAGTTATCGCAATGGGGTGCCTGAAATGTTTCAGCAGAGATGGCAAAAACAGTCCAAAGCTATAGTAGCTGCCATTATGGAACGTCAGAGTTATAAAAGCGGCGAAACAAATAAACCAAGACCAGGGGCTATCCATTCTTCTCCTCGAATCAGCCATTTTACAGTCAAAGCAGGTCAAGCGTACCCCTCAAGATTCTATTAATGAATTGATAATTTGAAAAATAAATCCGTTTAATAGTGGTTCCCGTATCTTTTGTCAAATTAATTCAAATCGGCATTTCTGCATGCGTAATGAGCAGTGAATATCTAACGAGAACTTCTCTGTATTAGGTCAGATTGAAAATCTTTGAATGGATTATATTTCTTAGAAGACATCTGCATCAAATTCAGGGAAACTGAGTTGGTAGAAATTTCGTAACTGCCTCGCGTGTGATTTCAAGGCTCATAACGCATGCAAGAATGCACAGATCAATCTGAAATCTACAACTACCAACAGATTCAACTTTCTAGCCTGCGAACAGGCTCTCTGTTTTCACCCTTTCCCCAAACAGAGAGCCTGTTCACAGGCTATCAACTTTCGAATAATAAATTCATTAATGGCAGCTTGGGGGGTACGCTTGACCTGGCTTGACAGTAATATTGACAGTCATCTGCTGAGACGTTCTTAGGTCGCCACGCGATTATTGACAACCAAAAGGGTAGCAACATTCAATATTTCCAAATCTATAATTCACAGGTGTGCATTCATAATCAAGGGTGATCGTGACTTCTTTTGCCCGAGCCGTTTGGGTTATTTTCCTTCCAGGTAAATTTTGTCTAGTGGGATCGATGTTCAACGTGCTCCAAGAGGTTCTGTTCAGTAGAAACTTTCATCCTAAGACAATGTTTACGCGCAAGTGAAAGCGGGGCGGGTTACATAATTAACGTGACAGGTGAGAGGAGATTAGATTTAAAAGCGTGATACGTAAACTACAGTCAAACCCTCCTTTGGTAAAACCCCGCGACCAAGCAGGCGTTTTTAGCTTATGGGAGCTCGTATTTTGTCCCTGTGGGGAGGGACGAAATACGAGCTCCCCTTAAAACGCCTGCGTGGGAGGCTACGCGACTAAGGCCCGCGGTTCAAACGTCGAACTTTGATTATTAGGTTCGGCACATGTTAAGTTCGACGTATGAATCAATTCAGGAACGGCACTTTTGTATAATTGGGTCGACTCTGCCGACAAGCTCAGTCGAATAGAACGGCAAATGACTTAGATTCATACGTCGAACTTCACACGTGCTGAACCCCTGGATGGTGATTCATCCGGTGGATAAAGCAATCCATCGCTTGAACAACCGGGGCCTGGTGTAAACCTCAGTAGACTGGCCTTTGGAAAAGACAAATGCTTGTGTAGATGCTTTGTTAGGGTGTTTTCCTTTCGGTGAATCCAAAAACGGATATTAGATCTTAAAACGGATTTCGCGTTCCTTTCGGCAAATCGAAATCCGGATTTTTGATCTGGTGAATCCTTTTTGAAAAAGGATTCATTGGATTTGAAATCCAAAGAATCCGAATCCAGATTAACGGATTAATGATCTACGCTGTTCCATTCACAGTGGATCAGAAATTAGTCAGATGATCCCACAGCGGTATTTCCAGTAACAGTAAAGTATTCCTGTAGAGTTTCCTAGTTGCTGCAATTTGCCGCAAAACATCTGAAAACACTGGAAGATTGTCCCTGGTACTGTAAAATATCCATTTGTTAACCATTTGTTGCTAAAGATTGCTTAAAAACACAAATAAGTGAAAGGGATAAATGAACTGCCATCTTTCTACAAGACTGACTCACTTGTAGACACGATAGGCACTCGCTCGTGTTACATTAAAACCGAGCTACGAAACT